TATTGATAAATTGTACTTCAAAAGGCTTCTCATCAAAATTCGCTTAAACGTTTTGATCACACTCAGAACAGACACGTAGGAAGCGACTCCGTACAATGTCTCAGTCCTCGCGTTACATAGCTTGCAAAAATTTGATTCTAAAAGTAATAAAAATTAGGCGAATGAAAGAAATAGGAAGCAACAGACAAAAAAAAAATAAAAAAATCATAAAAGAATTAAATCGATCGCCAAAGTAGAAGGGAAAGATCATCTCCTCGACACCGCGCGTACCATTGCCTCGGGGGCTCAGCGCTTTAATACACACATACACACAGACACTTTCGAGACTCTCTTTTCGGCACTGTATACTACTCGAGAGAGTGCGTGCGCCCGTGCGCGTGTGCATATATAGTGGAAAAAAGGAAGGGAGTCGCAGACACATCGAGTCGGTGCCGCGCGCCCCGGTATCTCTCTCTCTCTCTCTCTCTCTCTCTCTCTCTCTTAACCCTTTCTTTTCTTCACTTCCTTCACTTTGCCAATATTATAATATACACGCGGTGGAATACGTGTGGAGCATTTATAAATGCGAATTCTTAATCGTACCTATTATCTGAGATCATCGTCTTACCCATATACATATACGAAAACTAATTTCTTCGGCTGTTTTAACTTTTTTACACGCAAAACCTCCTTCTGGCTCTTTTCTCTCCGCGTTCGTGTGTGTGTGTGCTGCGATGCTTATAAACCTCGTGCAGCTATGCATATGTATATAATACGTGCGGGTAAAGGTCCAAAAGCTCATAAATCAAAACCTCGCGAAATCACCCAGCGAGTCTGCTAGTGATGGTCAGGCTTGTAGCACGAGCGTTTTAATACGCATAAGTGCATTTGGGGCCGTTTTAAAGAACGCGCGTCGTGGTGTATACACACATACATATTCGAATGAGCCGCGCAATTTTCTATATATATATATATAGAGAGAGAGAGAAGAGAAAAACGAGTTACATTATTATAAGCAGACGATTGACGAGAAAGAGAAGGACCGTAGGTATAATTATATAGGTCCGCGTTTATATACGCAGAGATGCTTGTATGCAGCTGCCGCGTGGCTGCTGCTCAGCACGTATATATAGACTGATTCGCGCGCTCATATATGCTCGTCTTTTTCCACGTTTCGAGCGCTTATACGCATTTTTTGAATTTAATTATTAAATCGCTCGGTTTGGCTCGTTCCACTTTCTTTCTCGCTATCTCGTCTCTTTCCTTGCTCTTTCTCTGTCTTTATCCGCACCCACACGTACGTAAAAGTGCCTTTAGAGAAGCTTTTGATCGTAAAGTGGAAATAACGCAACTATTGTTGTTTTACGTTTTTACTATTTACGAGCTTTCGTACTGTGATTATTATAATTATGTACAACTCATACTCCATGACATTTTTGTGTGTGTACAACAAACAGTGAAAAATATAAGAACGAGAGATAGAGAGAAATTTGCACCAAAATAAGGTACAAGCAATATCGTGGGGTTAAATAAAGACTCGATCGAAATAATTTTATTACTTTCGATCTTGATCTGCGTAAGATACAGGTAGTTACTTTAAACACCTGCTTATTATGATATAAAAGGGTTACTCGAAATTACCATTGCCATATCGTTGGTTGCTACCTACGAGTTTGGAATTCGCATTCGATCAAGTATTTAACATTTTATTGAAAAAATATAACAAAAATTTAAATTGTCTGGTGATTTTCTGAGACAGCTCTTAGAGTGCTTACAAGAATTTGAAAAAATGCGTTACTCCACCCACGCACTCAAGGTAACCAACTAGAGAAAAAGAAATTGTGATCTTTTTATCTGATAATAAGTAATAATTAGCCCGCAATTACTTCCTCCTCGAGTGCTCTTCTAATTTTCTATTTTTCTAATGCAACCCCTCAAACTTACATCGATAATTGGTTTTGAAATTTTTTCAGTAGCGTCAGAACCTCACGGTCTACTGCAGCGCAGTTCTTATCGTCACGAGACTGGCACATATAATAAATCACGAATGGCTCGCGCGCATATATCGAATATACGTCAACGCTGCGCGTAGCAATTTTTGTTACACACACTCACACACAAACACACCCAAAATTGCACTTACTTATACTGACGTCTCTCGTCTTGAGCTCACCACTCGGCTCGACTCGACTCCGCATCGATATATGTTATATACGCGTGCTGCGAGAGGCAATTACGATTAACTTTTTCGATGCGCAGAGAGTGAAAGAGCAAGACCCACGAGATTTTATTCCGAGAAAAGAAAATAGGCTGGGACTCGCGCGCGCGTGGACTTGTATACATATATACGGGCGCCGACGCGACGACCGCATCTTTCGCCTCCGAAAATTATTCTTCGGCTATATAATAAAGGTGCTGTTGCTGCTGTTGCCGCTGCAACCAATTCATAAAATACCTCGCACCAGATACTTCTCTGCTTTTGAGATTAAGCAAAAAAGGTCTTTTATATATTGCATATAGTCCTATCTAGGTGTGTGAATGATGACTCTATATAATATATAAATTTTTAATAAGTATTAATTTCCCTAGTTCTCGTCGTTTAGCCAAGGGCCTGTGCGCGCTGGATTATTATCCGTAGGCCAACGGAACCTTCGAATATAGCTCAGACTATATCGAAATTTAGCCGAGATCGATTACGGAGAAAAAGTGAGAGAGAGAGAGAGAGAGAGAGTTCGTATTTGTGAACTCTAAAAACGTTTAATTGATACTACCGCGCAGTTTAACATTATTAGCCTCAAAGAAATTATCGATACATCGATGCGCGCGTAGCGATTCATCGACCATTCCCAGGTGATTAGCTCTCGAGATTTCCTGATAAATCGTTATGTAGGCAGTCGCGCCAATCTCTACGTTTTTGAACTTTGAACCTCGATACACACGATCCACGATATTACAAGGGTTATATTATATCTACCACTCATACTCGTACTTGCACTACGATTTCATAGTTATACTCTTCGGCCCTCGCATGCGCGTTATATGCACGAATATGATTAATGACCACCGACTGTACTGGCGATGCTGCTGCTGCTGCTCCTTCGTTTTTTGTTAATTAGTCGATTGGGAAACGCCCTGACGCCTGTGTATGTGTACGTGCCACGACCCTACGAGTCTCATCCCTGCGAGCGCGATATGATGTGCAGATTTTGCCGCTGCGCTGTATAGCTGACGTTTGTTGCTAAACGACCTATGGCTTTTAATGTCCGTTTCGGAATAAAGCCCGTCGACTCTCGAGGAACGTATCACTCGTTCGCATTTGAAGAGCCGCATATTAATCGCTTCTGGCTCGGATTCTAAGTGTCCACTTTTTGTGCTTTTAAAATTGCTGAAGTACGAAATTGATCAAATAAAGAGAGAGACACTAGCTGTTTTCTTTTATCAATACATTATCGATTACTCATCTGAAAACTTATTACCTGTGATAATAATATTATTATTGAAATGAAGTTGACAAAAAATTAGTATTGTTTTTGCAGGTCAAGTTGAAAAAACGTGTAATAAGATTCTGTATAATAACGCAGTATCTTTGTCGCGTTGTATCATTTCAAACACACGTCGCGACTTTGCTGAAGTTTGTGCATGTTTGCGAATAAATCTCGACAACAATGACTGTTTCACTAGACACTCCGTGTGTAGTATATGCCTCCAAAGACGAGCAACTGTGTGACTCCCTAACGACTGATATCGCATGTGCCTCTGCATACGATTTGTGCCGCAAAGCAAAATATTATGCACTTTCGTGCGCCAGCACGTTGACTGCAGAGTCTCGAGATATATCTCTCTCTCTCTTGTATTCTCTCTTACTCGGTATCTTAATTATCTTTTCGTTATAACAACTATCCGAGGCGCCTTAATAGTTTTTAGCGCACAAGATGTGTGTATGACGTATGTATAATGTACTTTTCACTGATGCTGTTCCTTGGCTAGGGTCGGGCCCGAAATAAGTAAGATCATTTATATGTACTGACCACGAGCAAAGAAATATATTTCATGATTATACAGTTCTATTCATAATCAATACATTTCTGCATACATTTTATTTGCGTAGGGCAAGGTTACACACTGTCTGGAGCACTGCCGCAAAATAGTGAGTTAAAAATCTGACTTACACTCAAACCCTGAGCTACAGTTTATACATTAACGTTGTTAATAACACGTAGTCAATTTTAGACCGAAATCAATATTTACGTTATAAAGTTTTCATTTTTTTTCTAATGTTAACTTACACATAATTACGTATGCATTAAAAACTAAAATTCGCTCTTACAATGAATTACAGTATAATAAACAATAAAACTTAGTCTCTATTAAGGGGACACATACACCTTAAAATCCTTTTTATTTCATTTAATAAAAAATAGACCTAAAATATAAATTGATATTTTCCAACTTTGAGGATTCTTACTAACCCTTTAAAAAAAATATTTTTACCCCTACATACTGGAAAAGTGTCTCGAAATTTACAGGACGTACCCTTGACTTAGAAAATTTCAAATTAAATTGTATGCCTATGTATCATATCATTAAAGTTGAACTAATAACCTTTTTAAGTTCCTGAAGAGCTCTATTTGTTTGCAATCCCTATGGTCCTAAAACCATAATATTTGCATGAAGCTGATATTTTTAAAAAATTTTTTTTCACTTTATTAGAATATTCTCTCAATTATAGTCACGCATAGACTTTTAATGGTACTAACACTTCATCTGAGGTAGCGACCGTAGGGATTGTCGCAATAAACAAACAAATAGAGCGCTCCAGGAACTTGAACAGATCATTGGTTCAACTTGAATGTTTCGATACATAGACATACAATTTAATTTGAAATTTTCCAAGTCACCGTTACCTCCTGTAAATTTAGAGACTTTTTTCCAGTATGTAGGGTTGAAAATATTTTTTCAAAGAGTTGGTAAGAATCCTCAAAGTTGACCAATATCAATTTATATTTTAGGTCTATTTTTTATTAAATAAAATAAAAAGGATTTCAAGGTGTATATGTCTCCTCCAATAACTTTTGACAATTAGTTCATTCATACAACTCGAATCTAAAATTAAGACTCGTAACGTTTAGACATAACATCGCTTACATAGCCCTTCTGGCCTTTGAAAAACTTTTTTCGAAAAACGTTATGTGTTTCGAAGTAACTTTGCTCGTCATGATCAGTTAATTTGAAGTTCAACGAGTTGTCTTTATATACTTCTGGGACATATTTTATTTGTTCTTCATTTATTAATTTTTGGTGCTCGATCTCGTTGCTCTGTTCTGAAAATACTTCCTGACTCGCGTTGCATTCATCGTCTCCTTCGTAAACCATTCCGTGTAGATCTGTCAAATAATGATTGGTTTCAAACGCTTTTTGGCTTGCATGAATTTTTTTTTGATGAATTGATAAAAACTTATTTGTTGTAAACGCTTTTTGGCACAGGTCGCACACAAAATCCCTTTGTCCTTCATGAACTGTTATTTGGTGTCTTTTCAAGTCTCCCCTTTGAAAAAAATTTTTCTTACACACTTCGCACTCGTAGCCCTTTTGTTTGTCATGAACTGTGTTTATGTGTTTTTTCAAGTCGCTATGCCGTGAATATTTTTTCTGACACACGTCGCATTCGTAGTCCCTTCGTCCTTCATGAACTGATCTTTGGTGTGCTTTCAAATTGCTCGAACTTGAAAATAATTTTTGGCATACGTTGCACTCGTAGTCTTTCTGTTCTTCATGAATTGTTTTCTTGTGTTTCTTCAAAATGCCTAGCTGTGAAAATGCTTTGTGGCGCACGTCAGATTCGTAGTTCTTTCGTTCGTCGTGAACTACTTTATGATGATAGATTAAACTCTGTTTTGATGCAAACGCCCTTTGGCAGTTGTCGCATTTGTAGTCCTTTGGTCCTTGGTGAACTGATCTTTGGTGTTCTTTCAAATTTCCCAAACGTGAAAATACTTTTGGGCACGCTTCGCAAACGTAGTCCATTTGTCCTTCATGAACAGTTCTTCGGTGTCTTTCCAAATGTTTCGAACGTGTAAATCCATGTTCGCACACGTTACATTTATGATTCCTTCGTCCTTCATGAACTGATCGTTGGTGCTCTTTTAAACTGCTTGAACCTGAAAAGGCTTTTTGACACACGTCGCATTTGTAGTCCCTTCGTCCTTCATGAACAGTTTTTTGATGCATCTTCAAGTGACTATGATCCGGAAATGTTTTGTGGCACATATCGCACTCGTAATCCTTTTGTCCTTGATGAACTACTTTTAGGTGTTTATTTAAGTTGCTCTGAAGTGAAAATGATTTTTGGCACACGTCGCACTCGTAGTCCCTTTGTTTGTCATGAACCGTTTTTACGTGTATGTTCAAGTTGCCTTGCTGTGAAAATACTTTGTGGCACTCGTCACACTCGTAGTCCTTTTGTTTATCGTGAACTACTTTTTTATGTATCTTCATGTAGCTCTTACTCGAAAATGTTCTTTGACACACGTCACACTCGTAGTCCTTTTGTTTATTATGAACTACTTTTATGTGTATTTGCAAAGAAGTCTTCTCTGTGAATCTTTTCTGACACACGTCGCATTCGTAGTCCCTTCGTCCTTCATGAACTGTTTTTTGGTGCGTCTTCAAGTTGCTACGATCTGAAAATTTTTTGTGGCACACGTCGCACTCGTAATTCTTTTGTCCTTGATGTACTACTTTTAGGTGTTTATTTAGGTTTTGCTGAAGTGAAAATGATTTTTGACACACATTACACTCGTAGTGCCTTCGTCTTTCCTGAACTGCTTTATTTCCTTTCTGAATAGTTTTTTGGTTGTGTGTTACATCGAATACTTTTGCCAAAGTCTTTTTGCTTACATTGCGCAGATAAGTTTTTCGTCCTTGGCGAACTGATTTGATTTTTGTAGCCAAATGATCTTCTCTTTTAAATGTTTCTGGTCGCGAGTCGCAAGCATAGTCAATTTCTTTGATTTTATCCATCATTGTTGTTCTTCAATTTCTATTGAATATTTTACTACTTGAACTTACACAACTGCGGATTCCAAAAAATTTGAAATGTACATCTCACAATTGACTATGGATAACTGATTGAAACCGATCATACATATATATTTTCGTGTGTAAGATATGTGTATGTTTGTGTATATTGAACATCAGAATCAATCGAGTTGACAACTGTGCCGTTTGTTGACGGCTACTAATGTAAGACGATACTTATGCTACATACATATATAAATTAAAATTCATGTGAGATTCACGAATTCGGAATAAAATATCTGAAATTTTTTACAGTAGTATAAATATCTAAGGGCGTTTGGGTGCAGTTCAATAAGCATTGACTTGTCGTATAGATGCCTCTTGACTTTGAGTTGTACATAGATTTATAGACACGAGCATAAATTCATACATTTCTACTTCTTCCATATTTTGTCAATATTCTTGTAAAATAGTTTTTTAAACATTTGTACAAATTATCATTCAAATGCATGTTGTTGAAAGTGAAATGATTATGAATATGCAGAGATAGCTGCATTATATGAAAAAATATTTACTCGCGACTCTACTGGCTCGGCCGTCTTGATCAAATTCAAGTCGAAAAAGTGGAATACAACGTTATAAAGAGAGAGAGAAAAAAAAATAATAATAAATAAGTCCTCCATCCTCGATTAAATGCAAAGACACGAGAAGAGAATCCACAGGTTCTGCTGTTTAAGAAAGTAAAGTTCATTATTGCTCGGGCTATCGCGAGTATACATCTGTGTGCTGCTGCTGCTGCGGCGGGGACTCTGCTGTACTGCTCTGCGTTGTGCCGATTCTAGGTCGAGTTCAAAGTGTTGTGCCAGCGCGCGTGTAATTTAAAAGGAAAGGGCTCGAGCTGCTGCTGCGTCAATATACATACAATTTTAATGTATTCACCCCCGCCGCCATTATATTCCAACAGAAAACGCAGGGAGATTTCGTATGTATTGCCAAGCTTGCATTTATACACTCTTTGACTTGTTTTCATGAATAAATTCGTTTTGCTGTATTTCAGATTCGTTTCGTGCAGCGCCAAGCCCACGCGAATGCCCAGGGTAGTAGTAGTAGGTATAGGTGGGCATTTCACGCGAATGCCCAGGGTAGTAGTAGTAGGTATAGGTGGGCATTTCACGCGAAGAGCCGCGGCGGGCAAAGCTCGATGTGCACAGCGCAGTAGCAACTTGCTGAACTGTGAATTTGATGTATATACTTGTCGGCTACCACGGGTATTGAAATGACCCTTCAATTTCGAATAAGTAATTTTTTGTTGATATTTTAGTCGACTCTCCTTTGGTTGTTGCGGAGAGGTTTTCAGAGTGTGGGATGCTCAATACTTTATGGGTAGTCTTTGACCGGCGAAAGAATTTCTTGGACATGAAAGTACTATCCGAACTGGACAGTCTGCATGACCAATTTTCGACAAGGTGAAATTCGTGCAAATTACTATTTAAACACAAAAGTAATATTTATTTTTAATATTTTACATTTTAACCTTTTAATTTAATACAGCAATTAAATCGATAACATGAGATTATTAAATTAATTTTACGATTCAAAGTTGTCTTAAGAAATAAATCTATTTATTTTATATACAGTTATTTTAACTTTTCCCCTTGCAGATTTACAAATGAAGGTACTCGACATCAAGTGGTGATGGCCTAAAGTATTATCGTTTGTAATGACTGATATGTAGTGAGATTGGAAATTGGTCTAAATTTTTTGAAAGATTCAAATTATCATTCACAATGCGTTTCAATGTCAGTAACATAATTATCAAAAAAAAAAAAAAATCGTCAAAAACAAACGAATTAATAGTAATGTATAGATATGCCATTATTAATGTTGGGAATTTTTACCACTGAGAATCGAGACTTTTTTTGCAGTTATCTGGTAAAAAGTTGTTTACTTTGTTATAAGTATACTTTTTAGTAACCAAAGGAAAGAAATAAATCGATCTCATTTCACACGTTTTCTTTTCAATTCAACCCAACAACGATACACTCAAAAGTATGAAATGTGCAGCACCTTTTTTGTTTTCCTCGTCGCACTCAAAGAGCAAACGGAATCGTATCAATCAGAGTCTGAAAAGCTCCGCGGTCCATTGTTTTGCTCCAGAAACACTCAACCTACCTATATAACCCCCTTTGCCTTTACACGCGAGCTCTGAAAATCAGATGACAACGTGAATATTGCGTTATGAGGGATACGAGAGCGCGCGGCAGAGGATGAAGGCGCGACTCATTTATCACGAGAGTAGAAAATACGTATCGCAATACGCAGAGAAAATGTACTCGTCATCGTCGCGCAGCGAAATTGGAGCTCGGTGCGCTATTTCAAGAATCCCACTGGAAAATCTCTCACTGTTTTGGCTGCAATACTATTACAAAAAGTCAAACGATACTTTCATCACAGACTTTGTTTTGATTTATACATTTATTTGGACTTTGCTACTTGCAGATTTACAAACAAAGGTAATCTACATCTAACGGTGGGAACAAAATTTAATTATGATTGAATTTTCTTGTATTTTTTGAACAATTAACGCAAGTAAAATCAGTGATGTTTAAATTTGAATATGAAATCATATTAATTCATTTTTTTTCTTAAAGTTACTACATTATTACTGCATTTTTATGCATTTTTGGGTCGTTTATGCAAAAAAATAAATCAGCACTGATTGATTGATTTTCCACTAAAATTGTGTAAAATATAACCTTAATGAAATTCAATTTCGTTTAACTGTCATTTGACGCTCACGCAATTAGAAAACGATTAGTGAGAAATTTTACTTATTTCGAAGAAATTTAGAAAAAATGTTTGTTTTAAATTGGATTATGAAATGGTTTCTTCGTTGGTTTTTTCTAATAAAACATATTGTTATTACCGATCACGTTTCTTGTAGAAGAAATAATTAATCTGTCAGCAAATGTATCAACATTTTTTACTAACATGTGTTTGATCAATTAGGGGTAACGTACCATCACTCAAGGTTTATCAAAAATTCAGTAGACAAATAAACGCTTGCTCTATTCAAAAAAACTTTTTTTGGCTGATCGTTCCATGAAGTTCTGCAGAAACCAAGTATAGCCGAAAAAATCAAGTAAATATGCGCTGAATTTAAAAATACCACAACTTCAGGGTACAATGGTGTAATGATAGTTGATATCGGGAATAGGACTCAATTATTACGGCACATTTTTTATTAAAAATAAATGAAAAATATCTGCATAAGTATATCTATACATATTTACAATTGTCAATCATAATTTCTTCTTGCAACTGTGTCGTGCGTAACCGGTACCACCTTCTCATGGACTGTTTTTTGATGGTAGAGCAAATGCGATTTTTGTTCAAATTTCTTTTTGCATTTTTCGCACGCGAAATCTTTCTGACCTTTGTGTACTGTCCTTTGGTGGTAAATCAAATGCTGCTTATGTACAAATTTTTTCTCGCACTTTTCGCATACATGATCTCTGCGACCTTCGTGACCTATCATTTGGTGTGAGAGCAAATGCGATTTTCGTCCAAATTTTTTATCGCACTTGTCGCATGCAAAATTATTGCTATTTTCATGTACTGATTTTTGGTGAACGATCACATATGATTTTTGTCCAAATTTCTTTTCGCACATGTCACATGCGTAATCTTTGCGACCCTCGTGTAATTCTCTTTGGTGTCTGAGCAAATTCCATTTTTTTCCAAATTTCTTTTCGCATTCGTCGCATGCGAAATATTTTCGACCTTCGTGTACTGTCCTTTGGTGGTTGAACAAATACGTTTTGTGTGCGAATTTCTCCTGGCACTTGTTGCATTCGTAATCTTTTCCACTTACGTGGACATTCTGTTGGTGTAGAACCAAAGCCTGTTTATATCCAAATTTTTTCTCACAATCATCGCATGTGTAATCTTTGCGACTTTCGTGTATTGTCTTTACGTGGGTTAGAAAATTACCTTTTTGTACAAATTTTTTCTCGCACATGTGGCATGCGTAATCTTTGCGTCCTTCGTGGACTGTATTTTGATGCAAAAGCAAATTAACTTTACGTGTGAATTTTTTTTCGCACTTATCACATGTGTAATCTTTGGGATCATCGTGGACTGTCCTTTGATGAAAAAGTAAATGACATTTTTGTGTAAATTTCTTGTCGCAATTGTCGTATGCGTAGTCTATGTGTCCTTCGTGGACTGTCCTTTGGTGGATGAGCAAATACGCCTTTGTTCCAAATAGCTTCTCGCACTTATAGCATTCAAAATTTTTACAACCTTCGTGTACAGTTTTTTGGTGGAAGAGCCAACTCGAATTTCGTGTAAATTTCTTCTCGCATTTGTCGCAAGCGAAATCTTTACGACCTTCGTGGACTGCCTTTATGTGAGCGAGCAGACTTTGTTTATTTCCGAATCTCTTCGCGCACTTTTCACATAAATAATCTTTGAAAACTTCGTGAAATATTTTGTTGTGCTTGAGTAAAGTCGATTTATTTTCAAATTTCTTCTCGCACTTGTTGCACGTCAAATCTTCGCGATTTTTGTGAACTAATTTTTGTGTGTAATCAAACTTGACTTTTTCACGAATTTTTTTTCGCACTGATCGCATTCAAAATCATTGTGGCCTTTATGTACCAATATTTGGTGTCGACTCAAATGACTTCTAAACTCAAATTTCTGTTTGCACTTGTCACATGAGTAATTTTTTGGTTCATTGTGAATTGTGTCTCTATTTTTTAACATGCTTGATTCTACAGTAAGTTCTTCCGGACGAATATCACTAATGTGTTGTTTGACATCTGAAACAACAATGTCGTGTTCGCTTGAATTATCTTGTGAGAAAATTTGTTCGATTTTCTTCTCACTTTTATCCATTTTGTTGACTAAATTGAACGATAAATTTTCTTATTTAGTACCACGGAAATTTGAATAAATAAATTTTATCTTTTGGTATTATGGCTTGTTTCATCGGGAAAGACAATATTTAAACTAATTCATTTTTCTATAAACATAATTAGTATGTCAAGGGACTATGTCAAAATCGTGCATGATCCTACTGTTTACAATTAAGTTACCGATTTATCAGTTAATTAATCAT